AAAATCTTTTTCATTCTGAACTTGTTTGCAGAAGTCAAAGAACACAGAATGTGACTCATCCTTGTATTTTAGGAATTTCACCCATGTCCATCTGCTGTAGTCATCAACAATGACTAATCCATACTTCTTGCCTCTGATGGATGCAGTTTTCATTGGTCCAAACCGATCAATATGAAGTAACTCTAATGGTCTTGAGGTTGAAACAACATTTTTAGTTTTAAAAGAAGATTTTGAAAATTTTCCTTTTTGACATGCTTTACAAAGAGCATCTGAGTTGAACTTCAACTGAGGAAGTCCTCTAACCAGATTGAGTTTATTAATCTGAGATATACGTCTCATACTAATATGCCCCAATCTTCTGTGCCAGACCCATTGCTCATCATTAACAGACAGAAGACATTTTATGTTCTGAATCTTAAGTTCTGAAAGATTGATTTTATAAATGTTGTTCTTCCTCTTTCCATTAAATAGGATTGAGCTATCCTTTTGACTGACAGCTTTGCAACATTTTTTATTAAAGATTATGTCATAACCATTGTCACTTAATTGACTTATGGACAATAAGTTATGCGCTAATCCTTCAACAAGTAATACATTAGAAATGGAAGGAAGGTTACCATTACCTATGGTTCCAGAGCCAATTATCTTGCCCTTCTGGTTCCCTCCAAACTTGACGTCACCTCCAGATCTAAGCTCCAGGCTTTGGAACATAGACCTTCTTACCGTCATATTATGCGAGCAGCCAGAGTCCAGGTACCAAGATTGGTGTTTTGACTTTGCCGCTAAAGATATCTGCAACAGGTATTATTTTGTCTTTTGGCACCCAGATCTTTTTGGGTCCTTTAGGGTTAGTTGCCTTAAATTTTTGTCTGAACTTCTGTCTTCTGATAGCAGGTTTGTTCTGACTAACTTTAGGTTTAAACACAGAAATGTTCTGACCAGAACGTGTGTGTTTAATATCATTAAGATGGCCAAACTTAAAAGTAGAATACAATGGAGTATGCTTAATGATTAGTTTATCAACAGATGTTGGATTTAAATCTTTCCTAGAAGAAGATTCATATCCAATACCCTTCCTGTTATTTCTGCTTACACAATAGATCATTGAAGCCATCTTGCTTCTCTCTAGGCTTCTTGCCAGAAATCTATGAAAACTATAGTCATATTCTTCTAAAATGTTTTTAGATTTTGACTTAGTTTCAACTTCAGAATCTTGTTGAGCTTTTTCTAATTCATTTTTAATTTTCAAATTGTTTGCTTTAAACTCAGCAACTTCTGATTTCAGAAGATCATTCTCAGATACAAGATTGCTTTCAAGCTTCTTGCACTTGAGCTTAACCTTACTATAGTTTTCTAACATTTCTGATAAACTCTCAATAAGCTCTGCTCTAGAAAGTTCAGAAAATACCTCCTCAAAATCTGATTCTGATTCTGATCCAGATGTTTCTGCATGGTCTTCTACATCAGCCATGAGTGCCATATTTTCACATTCCTCATCTGAGTCTGATGAAGATTCAAATGCATCTAAATCATCCCAGGTTTCCATCAGAACTTTCTTTTTATGGCCAGACTTCCTTCTTGGCTTCTCCTTCTAAAGCTTTGGGCATTCATTCTTGTAGTGCCCAGGTTCCTTGCATTCATAACAGACAACCTCTTTCTTTCCAGATCTTCTGTGTTCGGAAGACTCTTTATGTTGATCTGGTTTCTTGAAGTTATTGAACTTCCTCTGTTTATGCTTCCAGAGTTTGTTGATCCTTCTGGACAGCAGGAATAGTTCATCTTCTTCTTCAGAAGAAGACTCTTCATAACTTTCTTCTATAACTTGAAACACTTTAACAGATTTGTTAGACTTTAAAGTAACAGACTTACCTTTTTTCTGGGGTTTCTCTTCTTCTAGTTCAATCTCATGACTCCTCAGAGAGCTGATCAGTTCCTCCAGCGTGATCTTGTTCAGATCCTTTGCTAGCTTCAGAGTAGTGACCATTGGTCTCCATCTGATTGGCAAACTTCTGATGATCTTCTTAACATGATCTGCAGTGGAGTAACCCTTGTCCAGAACTTTCAAGCCAGCTGTGAGAATCTGGAATCTAGAGAACATAACTTCTACAGATTCAGATTCCTCCATTTTGAAGGCTTCATATTTTTGGATCAGCGCCAGAGCCTTGGTCTCCTTGACTTGAGAATTTCCTTCATGAGTCATCTTCAAAGATTCAAACATACCAAATGTTGTTTCTCTGTTAGTAATTTTCTCATACTCAGTATGAGATATAACATTTAGTAGTATGGTTCTTGCTTTATGATGATTCCTGAATTCTTTCTTCTGAGCTTCAGTCATAGATTTGTTGTCCATCTTTTTGCCATCCCCATCAGTGGAGTGAACATAACCATCAATGACTAAATCCCAAAGGTCAGCATCATATCCTAGAAAGAAGCTTTCAATCCTGTCTTTCTAGTAGTCAAACTTCTCCCCATCAAACATAGGGGGTTTAGTGCTAATTCTATCTCTGTCCTCATATCTATTGTTGTTGGATGTTGAAGCTTCAGCCATAATGTATCAACCAAAATATATCAAGAGTTTTCTCAACTGGATCTTTTTTGTTCACGGTGAAGTGAGAGCACTGACAAAACCGGAGCTCTGATGCCAACTGAAGGTGAGAAAAACACTTAGAAGGGGGGGGGGGGGGGGTTGAATAAGGGTTTAGAAAAATATGGCAATAAAAACAACACACGATTTTTATCCTAGTTTGTTAAACTCAACTAATTCAGTCCACCCTATCAAGGTGATTTGCCTTTCTCCATAAGGACTTAATCCACTATATTCAAACAGATTACAGTGTCAACCTCTAAGAACAACTGTCTTAGTCTTATTAAGAAATTTTGACCACAACTTGATCTTCTCAAGGAACCTTTTACAAATTAATGTAAACTAAACAAGTGTTTAAGATGCTTCTACAAAGCTATATCACAAACTGTGATTTTTACACTTAGATTAAGAACGAATAAAAACTATTCAACTTTGAGCAAGAAAGATTGTATGAGAGTTGTTGAATAATTTCAATGAGTTTTTCAATGATTCGTTAACCTTGAAGAGATGTTGAAGACGTCCTTTTATAGTGCTGAAAGTCCAATGCTTGAAGACTGTGCAAGTAGAGTAGCTGAGCCTTTTGTCTTCACATGACTTTTCCTTTCTCAAAAGTAGAATGTTCAGAGAAATGCCTTTTGCCTGAATCCTTGTGTCTATCACAAATAAGGAATAGTTCCGTTGGAGAGGACGTTGAGAATAGTACCAAGTCTATTTACATGCTGACATCTTTTCAAACGTAAACAACATCAGATCCTCTGATGTGATTCTTGTTCTTTAGATCAGATTAAATGATATTAGAGTTGCAGCAACAGTGCTTCAGCGTGAGTGATCTGATCAGAGCATACTTGTTTTTCAGAGCCTCTGTACTTGCAGCATAAAGTACATTCAAAGTCTTCTGAAACAATGCTTGAAACTCTTCATACAAAATCTCCATCTACGTTTCAGATGCTTCTGCAGCTTCTGCTTCAGAGTCTTCTGCAGCTTCTGCTTCAGAGTCTCTTCTGGCAGCGCTCAGAGTCTTCTAATGGCTTGCTTCTGATGCTTCAGAACTTTGCGTAGACTACTGTTCAGATGCATTTTTGCTTCCAAAAGAATATTTAATTTAATATCTGAAACAAAAACACTTGAACAAAATTAGAGTATATATTTTCTTAATACAAAATTTCATTAGAGTTATCATCAAAACATAGAGATATAATTAAACACCAATCTATGTTCTAACAGTTTATTGGTTTGTGTTTTTTTTAATGAACGAGTGTTTAGATCGCATTCTAAGGGCTAAACATTGGCTTTTCTACTCTCAGGGGAGGCTTAAGCACTAGTTTGTATGCTCGTTAGAAGGGATTACTCGATGTTCTTTTAAAAAAAGGGTGTTTGATCGCACGGGGTAAGAAAAAGAGAAATTTGATGTGTTAAGTTTCTTGTTGGATGACAATTATTCGAATGATCGAATTAGGCAACTTGTATCCAAGTAATCGAGGAGAGGAATCGAAGGCTCCAGACCATCTCCCTTTTCATCCTTAATTACGAAAGGATTTGGATAATTTTTAGGTATCCTAAAGATGACAAATACTCGAATGGTAAAGTAAGGCAAATCGTATCCAAGTATTCGAGAAAGGGAATAGAAGGCTTTAGACCACTTTCTTTTTCATATACGTTGTTAGGAAAATAGTTTGATAAGGTTGATTAGGAATTTTGAGGAGAATCAGAGTGGAAGCTTTTAATTGATGACGATTACTCAAATGGTCGAGTAAGGCAACTCGTATCCAAGTAATCGAGGAGAGGAATCGAAGTCTCGAGACCATCCCCTTTTTCATCCTTAATGAAATGGTATTTGAATATGATTAGGTGTTTTTGAGTTTGAATATGAACTGGTGTTTAAACTTCTTTATTTATTGGTACCCTTTGCCATCCTTATTTGCAATAGAAATAATTTACCCCTCCTAAATTGAAATATAATCAAAATATTTTTTTGTCAAATAATCTAGTAATTTGAAAGTCACGTTTTAAATATAAATAAATAAAATATCGCAGGTCAAACTCAAACTCCCATAGTGGTATTTTTACACAAATATCAATTGAACTGTTTATCGAACAAATATTATCATCATATTATATAAAACGTTTATGTACATCAATTTTATAAATATTCTTTTCATTTATATTTCATTTTAAAGAAAATATTTATCAATAATTAATAATATAATGACGAGCCCACGTGTTTACAATATCCCCACCAACCATCCACTTGACAGCAATATTTATTTTTTTAAAATTTATCACCGCCATCCTATTTCACCTATAAAATGTCTAGTTCTAATCTAATGTGATCAGAGTAAACAAACTCAAATCATTTCTTTCTTTTGCTAATTATAGTTTTTGCTTTGAAAGAAAAACTTAACTAGTTGCAAACAAAATGGGATCTTTAAACACAAGAAAGAATAAACCACATGTTGTGTGCATCCCATATCCAGCACAAGGTCACATAAACCCAATGCTCAAACTAGCTAAACTTCTTCATTTCAAAGATCATTTTCATGTCACCTTTGTTAACACTGAATACAATCACAAACGTCTTCTCAAATCTAGAGGTCCTAATTCTCTTAACGGTCTCTCCTCTTTCCGTTTTGAAACTATTCCTGATGGTCTACCTGAGACCGACGTGGATGTCACACAGGATATCCCTTCCCTGTGCGACTCCACTAAAAGAACTTGCTTACCTCACTTTAAAAAACTTCTTGCCAAACTCAATAATGCTATCGACACCCCTCCTGTTACTTGCATAGTTTCTGATGGTGTTATGAGCTTTACTTTGGATGCTGCTCAAGAACTTAATATCCCAGAAGTGCTTTTCTGGACAACTAGTGCTTGTGGCTTCATGGCATATACGCAATATAGTCAACTCGTTGAAAGAGGCTTAACACCACTCAAAGGTAAATAGTTTTTTCTTACATGAAAATTTTATATTTTAGTTAGATAAGTATATATAAATAAGATTTTAACGTGTTCATCATGCAGATTCGAGTTATATGACAAATGGATATTTGGAAACTACCATAGATTGGATACCAGGCATTAAAGAAATACGGTTAAAGGATATCCCAAGCTTCATCAGAACTACAGAACCAAATGATCTTATGCTTGATTTTTTATCAGGTGAGTGCGAAAGAGCTGAAAAAGCTTCGGCAATTATTATTAACACTTTTGATGATTTGGAACATAATGTTTTGGAAGCATTCTCTTCGTTGAATTTTCCTCCTGTTTATTCCATTGGTCCCTTGCATTTACTCTTAAAAGAAGTGACTAATAAGGAACTTAATTCATTTGGTTCTAACCTTTGGAAGGAGGAGCCAGAGTGTTTAGAATGGTTGAACAACAAAGAACCAAATAGTGTTGTTTATGTTAATTTTGGAAGTATCACAGTTATGACAAATGAACAGATGATTGAGTTTGCTTGGGGATTAGCAAATAGTAAAATACCATTTTTATGGGTAATAAGGCCTGATCTTGTAACTGGCGAAAACTCAGTTCTTCCTCAAGAGTTTCTGGAGGAAACAAAAAATAGAGGAATGTTGTCAAGTTGGTGTCCACAAGAGGAGGTTTTGGATCATTCAGCAATTGGAGGTTTTTTGACACATAGTGGTTGGAACTCAACGTTGGAAAGTGTGTGCGGCGGTGTTCCGATGACATGTTGGCCTTTCTTTGCGGAACAACAAACTAATTGTAGATTTTGTTGTCATGAATGGGGAATTGGTTTGGAGATTGAAGATGCTAAGAGGGACAAGATTGAGAGTCTCGTGAAGGAGATGATGGAAGGAGAAAAAGGTAAAGAGATGAAAGAAAAAGCTTTGGAATGGAAGAAATTGGCACAAAACGCTGCTTCAGGTCCAAATGGTTCATCGTTTATGAATCTTGAGAAGATGTTCCGTGATGTTCTTCTGTGAGAATATTCCTATAGTTCAATGTTACCATTATGTCCTTTATTATAAAATTCTAGCTTTTGTTGTATCTTAGTATAAAGTTATTTTTATACTTTCACATGTGTTTGTAATTTTACAATAAAAACTATATTAAATATTTAATAAAGAAACCATTTTTTTGATAAAGTAATTCAGTTAATGATTTATATTTATTGCTATAATCTTATTTTTATAAGATATTTGTGAAATTTAATAGATGTTTTATCATAAAAGGACGAAGGAGATAAGTTAGATGCATAATTTGGATACTAATGATTGAGATTTTTTTTATTGAGTGATTGAGATCCTTTGGTTAATGAAGAATATATCATGTTTAAGGGACAAGTGGCTTATGAGGTTAATCATATTAAATATTTGTCTTCATTCGTAGAGTTAAGTAGAGAATAATCCAGACGGTTTTTAAATATTCATATAATTCACCAAAAGTTTTAAAATGGATTCCATAAAATATTAAAATACACTCTACATTTAATAATATATATATTTTTAATCCGACCTAAATTGAAAAACGCTCTTTACTGTAACAACATTTTCAAATGAAACTACAAAGTCAAATATTGTAACAACATTTTCAAATGAAACAATGAAACTACAAAGTGAAATATCAAAAGATTTCTGACACAGTCCCTTTAGGGTATGTGAAGACGGTCAATATTTTGCCACAATCACATCATTAAAAAATCTATAGAAGTTTGATCTTAATCACACAGCATATCACAATCCATGTGAAGACACCGCACAAAAGTGCCAATATTCATGCTCTTAGTCTACACATGGACAACTCACGTTAGTTTTTTTTTAACAGAAAATGTTTACGTTTTTTATATTAATCTATTTATTTAAAAAAATAGATTTCAGATTATAAAAAAGATTTTTTAAATCAAAATTTGTATTTTATATATATATATATATATATATATATATATATATATATATATATATATATATATATATATATATATATATATGAACATTTACGAGTATGAGTTTCATCAAATATATATTTGTATTTATAAACTAATCATTATATATTTAATAATTTTATTTATAAATATCTAATAAATTATTAGATTTGTGTTTGCGACAGATTTTACTCGTGAATACTTACAATTATGAATTTTTTTATAATCCTATAAGTATCTCTTATACTTTTATAAACTAAATTGTTTTATTAATAAAAGTTGTATGGTTGTTGAGTTTGTAGTTTCTTGTGTCGAAGCAGTGTAACTCGACAGAGACAAGGTCTAGTCAAATTAGTTAATGTGTGTGTGTCAAGTTGTATTAGTGTGTCGAAGTATGCTACTTCACAGAAGAGATTTCGACTTAAGCTTATTTTAGTAATGTTAACTATTTTGGGATTTTATAGTTTTACGCTTTGCCTCGGGGTGCAAGTTAACCTAAATTTATAAATAGGGAGAAACCCTTATTTTGTAAACAACTCAATTGATATCATTGTATTCACAGTTTGCAGTTGCAAGTGAATAAGAGAATTTCCACAGGTTGTGCGCAGAGAGAAACTCTGCAGAATATTCATCTTCGCCAACGTTATTTTCTTTCTTTCTTTCTCAACTTTTTTCATTGTCATTGTGTGATTGATAACAATCTTGAGGTCAAGATTGAGCGTAATTCTCCATAGGTTGTGGTTGAATTCCAACATCTGGTATCTAGAGCTCTGGTTGCGATTCAAGGAAGGAAGACTGTGATGGCGATGAATCATCCAAACAGACACTTTCCGGCAAACCTTCTGATTCTCAAGAAAGATAATTATGAGAATTGGTGCAAGCAGATTAAGGTGATTTTCTGTTATCAAGATCTTTGGGATCTTGTGAAGGAAGGAGTAACACCACTTGCAGAAAGCGCAGCGGATCAAGAAAAGGTTGCACACAAAGAATTGAATAAGAAAGTTTGTAAAGCACTATTTATAATCCATTAATGTGTTGATCCAGATAATTTTGAAAAAGTTAGTGATGTAGAGTCAGCGAAGGAAACATGAGAAATTTTGAAGAAGTCGTTTAGAGGAGCAGAAAAGGTGAAAAAGGTGAGGTTACAAACTCAGAAGAGAACCTATCAATTACTTAAAATGGAAAAAAATAAAAGTATAACATATTTCTTCACTAGAGTTACAAAACTGGTGAATCAAATCAAGGTATGTGGAGAAGTGTTGACATCAAGATCATTTGTTTCAAAGATCTTGAGGTCATTAGATCCAAAGTTCGACCACATGGTAGTATCCATAGAAGAGTCGAAAGACTTGTCAGTATTGATGAAGGAAGAGCTTCAAGGGACGCTTGAGTCTCATGAACAAAGGATGGCTGAAAGAGTTGCAGGAAAGTCGAAGAGTGATATGTCTTTGCAAGCGCAGTCAAAAAAAGAAAAGAAATGCAAAGGAAGCTGGAATGGAAACAAGGCTAGATGAGGCTACAACAATTCGACTGGTCGAAATCAGCAAGAAAGTAACTGGTCGAATTAGAGAAAATCCTGGAACCAAGGCAACCCAATAGGTGGTGCTGCAAGTAGAGGAAGAGGTGGTGGTCGAAAACCTGACAAAAGTCAAACTCAGTGTTTCAATTGTCAAAATTATGGTCATTATTTTAGTGATTTTCGAGAAAAGAAGAAGAATCAAGAAATTGATGGAAAGCTGGAGAAACATGAAGAATAAGAGATGTTGATGATGGTCACAATAAGAGATGAAGAAAGATTCCAAGATCAGTGGTACTTGGACTCAGGATGCTCAATGAAGAGTATGGTGAAATTTGCAAATGACAATACTTTATCAAATGAAGGTATTAGTGATGTTTTAATTATGAGGAAAGATGTCAAGAGGTCAGTAATTTCCAATGTGTTGTACATACCAGACATGGAGAGTAATTTGCTCAGTATATGGTAGTTGGTCGAAAAGAAGTACAAGGTGTCGATCGAAGACAAGATGATGAAAATTCTCGACTCAGGAGGTAGGTTAATCTTGAAGGCTCCAATGTCTTAGAATAGAACCTTCAAGATTGAACTTAATGTGATGGAGCATAAGTGCCTTGCAACTGTAGCCAACAAATATGAATGGATATGGAATTATCGACTTGGTCATCTCAATTTCAAAGACATAAGAGATTTGAAGAGAAGAAATATGGTTTCAGGATTACCAGAAATCGACATTCCAAGCGAAGTGTGTGAAGAATGTGTTCAGGCGAAACAACACAAGAATAACTTCAGCAAGGATGTAAGAAGCAGGTCGAAGACAATTCTTGAAGTCATATACTCTGGTGTATGTTGTCCTATCCAGGTGAATTCAATTGGAGGTAATAGATACTTTGTCACGTTCATAGATGATTTCAGTCAAAAATTATGGACTTACCTGATCAAGAAAAAAAGTGAAGTGATTGAGGTATTTTCCGAATTCAAATCTATGGTCGAAAGACAGAGTGGTTGAAAGCTAAAGATCTTAAGGATTCATGGAGGTGGAGAGTATGTGTCAAAATATTTCGATGCATTATGTGAGAAAGAAGAGATTATGCATGAGGTGGTGCCACCCTACATTCCACAACAGAATGGAACTGCATAAAGGAAGAATAGAACCATCATGAATATGGTGAGAAGTGTAACACCCCGTTCCCCAAAATAAAATAAAACAAATAAAATAAACACATATCAGAGTTTTTCCCTCAAAAACGGGATGTCACATTTCACCAAAATTTCACCAAACATTTCTTAAATGATTTTCCAATAAAATTGCAGCGGAAAAAGAAGTTTGTCATAAACACATAATATGTATATATACGTCATCAACATCATCATATGTACAACAAGTTGGTCATCTGCCCAAAATGTACAAAACATCATCATCATATTCAACACAACAAGATACGCCACAGGGGCACACAAAATCATCAATAAACATGAAAACTCCCAAAAGCCCCGATGTTACGTATCAGAGTAATCCCTACGAAAACTCCACAATCCAAGCTAGCTAAACACCTGGATTGTCTATACTTCCAAAGAAGCACTGACCACAACAATAGCAAAGGGGTGAGAATTCATGATCAAATATTAACGGTATAAATGTACATGAAATAAAGGCAGAAACATATAAAACGTCATTTTATATACAACACATTCGGACCTACTGTCCCACCACCAACAATCACTACACACAACAATGCAACACATGCAACTCAACACAATGATATGCGGTACCGACTCACAACAACGATGGACACCGGGCCATCAATCCTCCACAAAGGAGCACACATCACCGATGGTCACTTGGCGATGCGTGTAGATTCTTATGACTTTGTTCATTATACCCTCTTAAACATCACATAAGATGTTAATCCATGGTTAGAAATAAACTGAAAAGTTGCGAAGTTAGTTTATGTCAAGTTTGGACATGATGCATTTCAAATGTAAGGACCCAACTTGTCTCCTTTGAAACTATCAGCTCACAAATGATATGGAGAAGTTCTTGTACTTTTTGGAAAGCCTTCATTATTCTCTACAAATTTCATGTTTTGGGAATTTTCAAATTCCAAGTGGAACTAGGTCAAAAATCCTCTTGAAGTTGCCTGAAAACATGACTAAAAAGTGCTAAAACTTGGAATTTCACTAAGTGTTTTTCTCCTCTTGTAATTATTTTAACTATAACTCCAAATCTACTCATTTTTTGTAAATGTACAACTGTGGCACTTTTGTAGGAATTGTCAAGACCTTTCCAACAAGCTTTGCACCACCTCAATTGGATGTGTGGTTAAAAAGTTATGGTCTTGCCCCTTTCAAAGCCCTAATTTCTCGACTTTTCGATTACTCCTCAATCCTTGATCCAATGGTCACAAAAATTCATGACTAGATGTAATATGACATTAGGAACATATTTGCTTTCAATTTTGGGATAAAAATCCTCTTGGTCAATGGGTTGACTTTTCAGTCAAACGGACCGATCGATCGAAAAACCCCGAATCGACTGTTGGTGTTCT